GTCACGACTATATCAGGCAAGGGACCTCATTCACAGATTTTCTCCGCTGGCCACCCAGGTTCCCAAACAATTCGGGTTATGAGGGCATGTCGAAAAACACGTTTTCTACCGCGGAGCCCAGGGTTGTTAGCTCGCGGAAACGAAAACTACCAAAAGTCATAGGGCTCCCCTGGCACCACACCGCACCTAGTCTGTTTTCCGCGAAAAGTGCGTATTTCGAAATTTCACTTTTCTCCCAAAATCTCCTAAACTACCACGAAAATGGTAGAAATTATTACCAACTTAAAAAGTTAGCAGAGAGCCCCACGACCACCCCATACAACGTGAACCCGTCCGACGCCGCCATCTTGGAGAAAATCTCACTGGAAAATGGCGATTTTTCAATGCCGAAACAAAATGGCCGCCACCGCCGCCGCCATATTGACACGCAAGCGAAAACTCCCCGTACGTGAAAATCGACTATATTTCCGAGTCGCCAGCCTAAAAATACCCCCTGCAAACCCACCACAAAAGAATTGACGATCGCCCGAACAGAGGTCGAAAAATGCCAAATTTCCAGGTGAAATATCTCGGCCGCCATTTTGTTTTTTTAATCAAACCCTTTTTCAGCGTCATTTTTTTAGCTACATCTACGACTATTTTGAATATCGTAATCGTAGAGTGAATAATGTAGAAACTAAAAAAATTATCTCGCCGCCATTTTGTTTTTTGGCTGAACCCCAATGCCATTTCAACTCATTTTAAAAAAATATTATCACTCTTCATACATGAAAATGTCATTTTCCTACTTTAACTACCCGAAAAAAGCATGGAGTGAGTCAGTGAGTCAGTGAGTGGTAATTAAGCTTTATATATTATAGATTTTCTATGTTGATAACAATCTTATTAAAGTAAAATAGAATCTCCAATCACATTATCTCAGTAACTTGGGGATAGTGGATTTTCGAGTACTCTAATAAGATTTGATTTATTAAATTTATACCAAACAGTAATGAATGAATTCTACGCCACAAAGAAAAACAAAAATACCAACATAATGTTTATATGTGTCAGTCACATCAGTCGTGCAAAATATTTTCTTCGAGAATTGAATTCCTAAATTTATTGTTTTCTGTAGTTTTTGAGTATATATTGTTCAAACAGTCAGGCGAGCAGAATTTATTTCGTAATATGTGTATATAAAAAAAGTGTAATACTATTATATGCCAGGAATTCATGGAGTTGATTAGTTAAATGTACTGAAACAACATTTACTATGGGAGCAAAACTGACTTCACGAAAAATTAATCAGCTGGACCATAATTTAAACGATTGTAGGTATTACAATTATGTAAATGTTGTTACTAATCCACCTCACGAAGTCCTGACATACAATAATATTACACCTTATATTACATATAATAATATATTAATAATAAAGGTGTATATTATAACTAATAGTTCGTGAAGTAAAAGAAAGAAAATTGAAAACTCGTTGAGAACTTACATAAAATATCAGCGGAAGTTCCAACACGATAAGTAGTGTTATGTCTTGCTGTCAATTTATCCATCCCTTTAATGCCTATTTCAAACTGTAAATAATACATCATAGATTCTTAATATATCTGTTCCTGCCATAAGCGTAATATATTAATTATAACTTCATTACTATCAACCACATTCAAGTTATAAATAATCTATCAAAATATATAAGAAAAGTGCCTTCTGGTACTCTATCCTCTTGAGTAACCCCGCAAGGGATACGGCGTGATGATATAGGTAAATAGATAAATATTTTTCATTTGTTAAATATGTCCATACAAATCTTTTGTTCCACTACTCGATTCCATTTTAAGATTAATTGTACGGTAGATTTATATATATTAAATACGTACCAAATCTGCATAGTTATCTGCTTCTAAAACATCTTTGCCTTGTACATGGCTGTACGGTATCAATAACAATTGTGTAAACGAATGATAGCTGAGATAGTACAATAAGGAGCCTTGTTTGCTCAAATTATTTATCAAATTTGCCAAAGCAAGTGATTCTTGTTCAGAAAAGGCCGCAGGACCAGCATAAGTAATGGCACAAGGATTTGATGACGCTCCTACAGCTGGAAATATACGTTGCATATTTGTTATAGCAATTAACAAGATAAAAAAATATTAGTACAGTAGTAAAATAAATAAATAAATATTTAACAACATCACATACATTGCTCAGATTCCAAGATGAGTAGCTAAAGCCCCCGTATTATGGAGTATCTGAGACAACGAAGGTACCACAACACCCAGACCCGAGTCAATATAGAAAAGTTTATTTTCTACATTGACCCGACCGGGAATCGAACCCGGGACCTCAGAGATGGCGATACTTTATTTCTTGTTTTCAATTTGAATTTACCTATGCCTCAAACATAAAAATTGTATATTTGTAACCATAATTGAATTCAGCATCAAGTATCTTGATTTAACACAAGTTTTAAAACAACTTGATTATTTAAAAATATGTAGTTCTTTCTAATTAACAGTAATTAGATTTAAAAATAACATAACCTACTCATCCAGAGAAAATCGAAGTTTCTGTTCAAATCAACGCCAACGCTCATATCGTCTGGTAGATTCCATTGGGCGCATGATGTCTTCATTGCTGGATTCCTATTTTTTCTCCACATCCGATTCTAAAATAAAAAAACGAGAAAGCTTAAAAATCATTTAAAACGAAGTCATTATTTTTATGTGGATCCTTTTTATTATTTTTATCCATTCCTCCCTTATCAGATTTTTTTCTGAAATAAATGGAATTCAACGATTTTCATCTACTTAATACTAGTAAAAAGTATCACAAAGTTCTATTTGAAAAAGTTTTTTAAACTTTATATTTTTCAATTACGCCTAAAGAAATTTGTTAAGTAATATTAATATTTTTAACCACAATATACAGTTATTGTGTATGCTAATCTGAAATGGCAAGCTAATCAGTACTTACATCAGTAAAAGAATAGACGTAGCCATCGGGATTCGTTACTGGGAATATGTACCAAACAACATCCTCAGCCATAGACCGAACTCCAGGGTCATTACTCGTCAAAAATTCCTTTATAATCCAAGTGCAAGTAGCTGGTGATATCCATTCTCTTGCATGAAGACCTCCTTCAATTACACCGATATAAGGATCGCCAATCTTTTTGTAATCTATAACCATACCCTTAATAGGTCGTTCTTCAGCGGTATATCCTATATTTATAATCGATGCTACCGTTGAATGAGCTGCTGCGAAACTATCCATCCATTCATAGATTTCATCTAACGTTTGATAGTAATCCCAAACGTATTCATTTGTGTTTCTTACAAGTGGTCGTTTGACTTGATTATCTATAAGACTAAAGAAATGTTTCTTTATTACTTTCATTATTTTCTGACTGTCGGTTTCTTAAATTGCCAAGATATTTGTAAGCAACAATTCATTTCTAGTTATTCGTAATTAAGTTATAATGTTAAGGAAAAGAGACAAATTTAAATTTCAGTACCTTTGAACGTCATCCACGACGAGTTCCGCTTTTATACTAGCATCAGACAGGTACTTTTCAAATAATTCCTGTTTCTCCTGAGCCACATCAATCCTGTTTTCTAATCCCACTTTCACTCCTTCGAGCCAAAACAAAAAATCATTGTTGTTTTTTATATCAAGTAAAGCTTGCACTTCTTTATCAGAGGACGGAGTCACTCTGTATAATTTGTGATTTCTATAATTCACATATTCTGCTTTATTAACTGCTATTATTGTAATTAATAGTAATATTTTTATAATCATAGTTACTGATCGGCACACCAATTTATAAGAACAAAAACTATTCTTTAATATTTTATCCAAATACCTGATATTATCAGATAATTAGTGTTATCGATTTACAGAGCTGTTAACAGTGTAGATAATTACAAATATGTGATAAAATAAGCATTTTTGTAAAAAAAATATATATAATTATATGGGTTTCTCAACAGTAACTCTAATAGCGAGTAATCTCAAAAACTCGTTTAAAAAAAAAACAGATTTATAAAAAGAGGTTTCCAATATAATACCGCCAACAATTTGTCACCATAGATCTATAGGTGCCGCCATGGCGGATCCACATTGAGGTATCCAAGGCGATATCTGACGAACTTTGAAACGTGGTAATAATAGGAGGGTATGATGTGGCCGTCAGATAGGATCCAAGCTGCGATTTGGAGTGGACGCTCCCCGTCACATGCGACGCATGCGACATTTTTTAATTCGAGAGTGCAGTGTCGATTTGTATCAAACGTCTCATGATAAATGTTCTTCGTTCAACGATATATTGTTGATCTAAGTATATGATGCATGTCTTAAATCGCAGCATTGTTGAATCGCACGATCCACACTCGATGTGTTTATTTTTTTTATTTTTTTATTTATTTATTAAGTTAGGACACAAAACAGTTCACAACCAAATTGAGTTTAATTTACAGCAATTCAAGTAATTTATAAACTAGATTGTAAACCAAATCCTTGTGGCCTTATCATGACAATTATAAAGGTTGCATAATAGTATAATATATTTTTCATGCATAAAATAAAGAATAAAATTAGATTACATTAAAACTAATTACAATAAATTTAAAAATTAATCCCAAAATTATACTTAATCAGAAACTACAACATCGAAATTAATAGAATATTGCTGTTGAAGTGGGAGTTTGTATGCATATTTTATTTTACTGATAAACTATTTATAAAATTATTTGCACCAATCATATTTGTGTTTGTCTTTGATTTACCTCGTTTAATAGCTGCATAGTTTACAATATAGATTATATGATAATTTCTAGTGTACATTGGAGTCTATCTCTTGCAATTTTTATTTTTCATAATAATGTAAAAAAATTACATAACACGTTTTATATGAGATTCACAAAAAATGATGTACCACTATTGTCCTTATCATATTTGAACAATTATAGCTATTTAAAATAGCGATAACCTTACCCTGTATTGGTAATAAATTCAAAGTAATTGTCGGTTCCCAAATAAAACGAATGAATTGCACTATTTTTTTATTTAATGAGTTATTATTTTTTATTAAAATAAACAGAATTTTTGAGACATTGATTGCTTCATAGGTCTTAGCTTCATCTATCCAAGGTTTTGTTCTGATAATTCTTTGAAGTTCACATATAGGCAGAGTTTAATAAAAATATCATAAATATTTTATCTATCTCTTAAACAACTAATATAGCCATTAATCCAAATATTACTACACTAAGTGAGTAAAATATCTTTGATGCATCTGCTGTAGTGTAATAGCCCAGCAATTTCGTAGTTTTGTCCATTTCTATTAGGCCGTCCATCACTTCTAAGTTGTTGGGTATAATCTGTGAAGCTGGAAGAAGGAAACCAAATTCTCCCATGTCCCTGAGTTCAATTAAGTAAGATATTCTGGTGTTAGTGTAGTTCTTGACCCAATCGAAACTGGTACCACTCATTGGATCTGAAAAAAAAAATTTACAGTGAACCTACGATGTCTAGCAACTTTGATACTAAATCAAGAAATCAGTATTTGCAAGACCAGCCGTGTATCAAGAACCGCAAAGACGGTGGTTGTTTCGATTACTGTTGTTGCCATTTTTTTACCATTTATGCATATGAATTTGTGCGTGGGCGATGCACAATAGGTCATGCAGATACTGACTGAGTAGGATTACATTGTATTTACAGAAAACTAAATTATAAAAAAATTAAAAACACAACTACAAAAAAAATTAAGAAGTTACAAGTTATTTAAAATCGAAGAAAGTACTGTGAAACGTTTATAATCTGACAGGTTCCCCCTACTATTATAGATTGATAGATAGCTTACATACAAACATAATCTGAATCTCGTAAACGACTCAAATAATTTTCGCGAAATTTAATATACAAGAGGTTTCTAGGGCGATAAATCGAGCCAGTTAGGTATCGTTTACAAAAAAAACAATAAAGCAAAGCTCGATCATCCAGGTATAAATATACAAATGCCTTCCTAAAAACTTCAAACACGAAACAGTGGAACTACGTAAGATTAAATTAAAACTTACACAAAACATTTGCTGCTATACCGACACTGTAAGAAGTGCCAAAGCGTTGTGACAATTTTTCAGCACTCCTTACTGCTATCTCGAACTAGAAAATATAAAGGATGATAATAGTATAGTGTAGTGAAGATCGTAGGAAACTGCTATCGCGCCTCCAAAATCTATTTCATTGGAAAGCCTCCATTGATTCTAAGAAAGGTGCCTTATTCGTGTACCAATCGACATTAGCCAAATATAAAATAAGTGTATTTACATGTTAAATAAAAGCATAATTAATTACACTGTAAGTATAAAAAAGCAGTTACCCTACATTATTTCACGATCGATTTGGTTTTTCAATACCTCATCCCCACTGCTGAGTGGCGTAGATGGAATCCACATGCATCATCTGACAACTGCAGATTCAGCCCGGACCAACGGCTTAATATGTTCCCGAAGTATGGAAGAAGTTTTTGGTCCGCCTTGGCGATAGATGCCATAGACCTTCGCATAGCATTTTAAACGCGTTTACCATACCACTGCGTCATTGTTTTGCTCAGTAGATATCATATGAATATCGATATGATATCTACTTATTCTTTGTTCTAACGTTTCAGTATAAAGAACTTTCACGACCAAAGTATCTAATATGCTCATGAAATTTTCAAAGAAACCAATTCCCAAGTTGAAGTGCTAATGATTTTTCAATTAGAGACCAGTCTGCTTCCAACTTGGCTCTCATGTGTTGCATTTTTTATTTAGTGTGCTTTAATGGCAATCTAGATTGGAAAAGATATAGATCGAACTCAAGAATTTAACTAAATGTGTTTGAATTTTCCATTATATGCCTAATTTGATCGTACCCAATTTAGAGGGTATATTCGCCTTATTATGTAGAGGTGTACTAAGAACGGATTTTTGGAAATTCCATCTCAAAAGGGGTCAAAAAGGATGTGAAAACGTGTGTACGAAACTTCTTTGCTTTTGGACCTATATCGATGAAAAATTGGTATTTGATAGTAATAGGTTATTTATCATCCCGAAAACTAGCACTTAAAGGGATTAAAATGGGAGTGATAATTTTTATGGCAACCATTATTTACAATTTGATTTCTTAATATTGTGATAAAATATATATTTGAGAAAATAATTCATAACATAAAATAAAATTTCAAATAATTATTTTCAATAATATTAAACTTCAAATCATATTAAAGAAAACACAAGTACCTATAATTCTACATCGCAGTGTTTTGATCAAGGTTAAGTTTTCAAATAAAATTTAGTAAGAACTTTGCTATTCAGTTGAGTAGCTCGTTGGCGAAGTGGATAAGCACCGTGGCCCGCGATCGTTGTTGTTAAGCACTTTTGCCAGGGTTGGTACACGGGATGGGTAACCAAAACACTTATTATCTCAAGCTACACCATGGTTCAAAAGATAGATTTGTGTTTTTCTTTCCATCTGTATTTCAAATCAGCTAAATAAATAGCTGTAAAGTTTTTAGAGATTAAGTAATGTAACATATTGGACATTAGTCGGTTAATAACATATAGTATAGCTGATGATGTACCTTAAATAAATAAATACTTGTACATATAGCTTTTTCTTGTAGTATATTCGAAGTTGAACAATAATTTTATTCAATTATCGCAGATATTTTGTTATTTATAAAATTATTAATTATGTTTCGAACAGTGATTTTGACAGTAAACCAGATCTCTAGGGTTTGAAAACCGCACTGTAGATGGTTACTGAGCTGATCGACGTTTAGCCGTAAAATTAAATGGCGCCATTATATTATAGGGCTAGCCGCCTAATTGGATAAATCTTTTACCCAGTTGGCTACGACATATCCATTATATATTAACAGTTTAAACTTTTAATTTTAACAGCTGTGTTTAAAAGTTGACCAAGCAATCGTGATTCATATTCTTCTTAGTCTATTTATTTCGGTAACTATCTAGTAAATTATTCCATACTAATATTATACATACCTAAGTAGGCCTGCGTTTATGTCAGTTACGCTCACACGTGTAACCCACTAAACACATTGGACTTGAGATACGGTACGGAAGTTCGTCATTGTCAAAGATAAAATCATTAAACTTTATTTCAGGCATTTTACACGATATAATGAATAAATAAGTATATATATAATAATAAATATGTAATAATAAGTAGCTCGGTGGCGTAGTGGATAAGCGCCGCGGCCCGCGATCGTTGTCGTTAAGCAACTTTCGCAAGGGTCGGTCACGGGATGGGTGACCAAAAAAATATTGTCTCGAGCTACTCCGTGCTTCGGAAGGCACGTTAAGCTGTTGGTCCCGGCTGCATTTGCAGTCGTTAATACCCTCCAACCCGCATTGGGCCAGCGTGGAGGGTCATGGCCCATCCTCCTTAACCATCCATAAGAAAGGCCTGAGCCCCTGCAGTGGGGACGTAAAAGGGCTGGTGTTGTGATGTGAATGAATAAAAAATCGTTTTGGAAACGCTACTCAGAGTAACTTTACCACGCAAACGGAGTCAAAAACTTCCTTAATAAAGGACGTAAATATTACTTTATAATAATGTAGTAATATTAACGAGTTTGTTTGAACCCTAATAAATGAAATGTCAATTAGATTTAAAAAAATATATAAGATAACTTTATTCCCAGCGAGAGTATAACTTTACATGTGAAATTTTGATCCTTCATAGCCGCATTATTGTGAGTTAGACCATGGGCATTGAAGTTTACTTTTTGTGCATTTTTATAATGTTTCAAAATTATGTGTGTATAACATATTTTTCAAACATAGATACAGGAGTGGGGATATTAATAATCTGGACTCTTGAACCCGAAATTCTCTCATTTATACTTTTAGCACCAAAAACAACAAGTAGATAACTACTTGAAATGATTAGCAAAATGCCGCTGATTTCAATACAATCTTTTATCATTTTTTTTTCAAGTAATTTACTAAGTTTATCATCAATTGTGAATGCAAAGTTTATTAAAAATAAACTGCCAGTAGCTTCGCTGCTTTACTTACCGTTTCACAATTAAGAACCAAAACTAACATTAACACTAAATTTTCATCTGGAATTAGGCTGCCAAATGCACAAAAACATCTTTTTTTTATTATAAAAATATTTACCATGTTTGCATAATTGTCGGCAGCCAACATCTGATTGCTAGCGACGTGGCTGAAGGGTATGACGAACATCTGCGTATAAGAGTGGAATGCTATGTAGTAAATGATTTCTCCGCGATCACTCAATTCCAACACATACTGAGATATAGCCTGAGTTTCGGGCTCAGATGCTGGTGAAGGACCAGCAAAAAGGTTGCTGCATGGGTCATTTGATGCACCAACAGCTGTAAATTAATTTCAAATAGAATCAATAATGTGACATTTTATAAAAAAAAAATCTAATTACAGAATTATTATCCAAAAAAGACTCCATGATAGCTCATATCACGAATGACCAAACCAAAACAAGACTGCGTAATGTTTCTTGCTTCACACAAAACATCATAAAAAAATCACTAGACAGTCTGGTGATGGAATAAAAATCAATGCTAAAATTATGCATAAATTAGGCTCCAAACGTTCTGGACCAATTTCAAAAATTCTCATCATAGGCGAGGGGTATCATTTACGTGCATACAATTACGGGAAACAGCTAATATAATATATTAAGAACACATTTTTAGCATCTCAAAACTTTAAATACTATTTGTAAAAATCTTTCTTTCCGGTGTTTAGGCGGATTTAAATTAGCAATTGTTTGACAAATTCGGGGGTAGCACAATAGTTGAAGCACTTGGAGCCATCGTTTGGATTGCAAAAGTCTCGAATCCTATCTATGCACCTGATAACGGTGATTTTTAAGCATTTGTTAAGATGAATATAAATACAGAAATAGGTATGCAAAATTGTTCAGTATAACAATCGGTGAAAGGTATTTAGAACGATATATTAATAAAAAAAAATCACTCACTCATCCAAACAAAATCGAAGTTCCTATTTAGATCAACACCATTACTCATGTCATCGTTTACATTAGCACCGCAAGAAGTAAAGTTGGTTTTACTTCTATTTTTTCTCCACATTCTGTTCTGGAAAATAAGCAATTTTTTATACAAAACTACAACTTATTAAAAATAAAATGTTTCTTATTAAATACTTACACCAGTGAATGTGTAAACGTATCCATCGGGATTTACGATAGGGAATATGTGCCATTCTAAATTCTCAGCGAAAGCCCTAACATCTGGATCACTACTCGTCAAAAACTCTTTTACAATCCAAGTGATAGTAGCTGTAGAAATCCATTCTCTAGCATGTAATGTACCTTCAAGGAAACCAATTTTTTTATCTGTCCTCTCTGGATGATAATCTATTTTAATACCTTTGATATCTCTATCCTCTACAGACTTTCCCATGACTACTGTTGTGACGATGTTAGGATAAGCTTCCGCTAATTCATCTAGCCAATGGTTGATTTGCTCTAAGTCATAATAATCATCCCAATCAAGTGAGAAAAAACTGTTTGCACTTCTAACAGTTCCTGCTTGACGTGGTGCTTTTTGTTTATAGATTATTCTGAAATTTAAAATAAACATCTCTGCTATTATTGATATCTAATAACATATACACATACTTACGAAATTTACACACATTTTAAGAAGTACATATAGGTTAACATACATGAATATTGTACCAAACAAAATTATTATAAATGCGCATGGTACCTTGAAGTTTTCTTAAACACCACTACTTACTCTTGCAAATTATTGAATATAAGTTTAACCTCAAGTTTTGCTTCTTTTAATCGTTCTAGAAATATGTTTTCCCAACTTGGTTCTACCATTATTCTTACGTCGTCTTCAGGCCGAAAATATTCATTCCAAAATTCCCCTATACCATTATTTTGAATTTCTTTTAAAGTATTGACATCATCTTGGTTTTTAGGATTCACTTTATACAACTTATAATTTAAATAACTTTTATATTCGGCATTAACATTAGCATTTATTGCTATTAAAATTAAACAAATTAGTAAAACCTTCATTATTTTGACAATTACGTGAACTTTTCGGTCTTGTTACAGACACCTAAATGTGATAGCATATTTTTTATTAATCTCTTAATAACATTTATCGGATAAATATTTCTGATATCTGTTTCGATAATCGCAGTAGACAATTACGTATTGCCTGATTACATTAAATACATGTAAGTATGATAATTCAAAGGAAAACGAATACAATTCATTAGCATGTTACTTTTTACAAAATGCCAATAGACTCTTCTATTGAAAAATATAATTTCAATGTGTTAATTAACAAAGATTTCATAAATATGATAGCCCGCGGTATGCTTGTTATGACTTTTTTAAGAAAGTCTCCTGTTGTATTTTGGCAAAACTATTGATGTATATAAAGAGATAAATCCACGAATGCATCTCCATCATTCCAATATAACTAAGAGTTAAATTTCTCCGAGGTCTGATATCCGAAACACCAGCCGCAGTCAAACATCTATTTCCGAATGTAATATCGCAAAAATATAAATTACAAAGTTGTCGAACAACAGTTCTGGGCAGCGTTTAGAGCTCAGTGTGTTTGTTCTATTTCGTATCTTATTGCGTAAAGTTTTGGTATTATATTGCTTTGACGGTTTCATGCAATTTCACGGAATGTGCGGAGAGCGTTGGCTTGATTCAGTCTTCCTGGACGATGTGAGTACAACTGAGGTTCATAAGGCTATATTCACAATGGAGTAAAAATAAAGTGTAATAAACAAGATAAAAATATGTTTCCAGTACCTTTTCTATAACATAAAAGAATATTACTTTGTTGCTAATTTTATTGTTTTTTTTGTAAGTTGATAGCTGATGTGGCATTAGTAATTAATTAAGGAATTAGATTATTATCCTTTGTTGGTACCAACACCATACTACTAACTAGTGTTGATATTTTATCAGCAAAATCAAAATGTGTTCATGGTTAGGTTTCATCTTATATTAATGTCGCAGCCAAGTGGTAAATACAGCCGAGCGATTGGGCGGCTAGCCCTATATTTGAATAGAGCCATTCAATTCCTTTAATGGGCTAGCTAGCTTAATTTGTCGAGTGATTATACCACTTAGCTGCCACATTAATATATATTCGAATAGAGAATATGGTTTATGTTAGATTGGCTCGTCTAGATTTTGTCATAGAAACAATCTATATCTATATATATATAAAAGGAGATGTACTGATATACTAACTGACAGACCACGCATAGCCTAAACAGGTGGTCGTAGAAACTTGAAATAAGGAAGGTACATTCGCTTTATTGTGTACTAAGAATGGCTTTTTGGAAATTCTACTCCGAACGGGGTTAAAAAGTGTGAAAACGTTTGTATGAAACTTCTTTGTTTTTGGACCTATATCGAAGAAAATTGATATCTGATAGTTTAAGACCCTGGGAAGCTAATAGGTTACATTTTATCTCGAAAACCAGCACGTTCAAACTTAATTGGGAAAGTTTTTATGGGCAATCCAAATGTTACCATAGGAACCATTATTTATGTTCTTTACTATTTGATTTGTCATCGTAATAAATCTATCCAATATTATTTATAAAGATTTCTTTATATAGTGTACATATTGGTATATGAGAACACAATTTATGACAAAAATAACATTTTAAATTAAAAGTTTTGAATATACAAATTTTTTAGCTATACTAGATGCGTTAAGTATATTTCTACATTGCACTGTATTGGTCAAAGTTGAGTTTGAAAATAATACTGTATAGATTACAGTTTTCGGTTAAGTTTGGTGTAAACTTTGGATTTGTATTATTTTTCATCTGTATTTCTAATTCTATATATAGCGTTAAAGTATTCAGAGATTAAGGACTGAAACATATTGGACGAAGTCGGTTAATAACACATATAGCTAATAACCATAAAAAATATAGCTTTTTGATGTAGTCGTTGATGTTGTAGTCTTGGAAGTTGAACATCAAAGTGATTTTATTGTTATATCGCCGATATTTTGCTATCAATAAAGTTAATAATTGAGTTAACCATTTGGTAATAACGTCATCAAGAGGCTATTAATGACCCCACTGCTGGGGCTCAATTTCCCTGGGAATGGAATCGAATCAAATTGAATACCACATTAAAATCATTGAATGAGCCACAACCCAGCACGTAGGCCCAGTGCGGATGGGATGATGGGTGTTAACGTGGTGTTAACTATTGCACTTGTATCCGAGACTAACAGCTTAACTTATCTTTCAAGCGATAGAAAATCTTTTAAGCAAGAAATATGTTATATCCTGTTATAATTCTAAGTCAATATATAGAGAGCTTTACGCACTTGCCATACAACCGCTGCCTGGGTGGGTCAGAGCGGTACAATTATATTTATCGCGGAGCGCTGGCGTGTCGTCCGTCCACGCATAAATCAGCTTGCATCCCAATGCCTGATACGTCACCGATCGCGAATCGTTGCGGTCGATCCGCTTGTGAGAAAGTACTTTTAGATTTGTTGATTACTAAAATATTCCTATTTTTGTGGTCACTTAAATGTGTTTGGCAAACCGAAATAGTCGGATTTGGTGTTAAATAATTGATTGTTTGATCGCTAGATAACCGTATGAGTTTAAATCTTTATATGTTTTATAATATACTAGCTATTATATTAGCTGTTACTAGCTGTTGTAGCGCGCGAATATGAATTTAAAAGGTAAAGCTAGCGTAGGTAAAATAATATCTTAATTCGATTCAGTAGTTTCGGAGCCTATACAATGCAAACAGGCAACCGATCAAATCTTTCCTTATTTTATTATTAGTATAGATATTTATATTATTAGACTTATTATTTACTGACTAATGGGCTGTCTGTCATATCAACATACAATCTTACTACTAGGATTACATCCATCATTTAAATTAATAATTACATCATTTAAATTCTGCTCCATGTTTCTTTTTATTGTGTAAGTGTGCATAAGGAAAGGATTCTCCCAAAAGTTCACCCCTTAAAGTATACAAGATAAAATGGATTTAATTGATAAAAAAATGGTATATAATTAGCTGCTTTTTTTAAAAATTGGATCAATCTGTTTCGGGACGTCTGAAAAGTGAAAACGTGTTTCACAATTTGTATTGTCCAGTGTAGTTCGCGCGAAAGAAGTCACGAGAAGAAAACTAGTATAAAACAACGTCTTAAATCGAATAAATAATTTGAATATGGCAATTAATTTAAAAACCACGCGAAAGTAATGAAACGTGTATATTGTAAAGGTATATTTTTAAAATACTTAATGAAACTCATTCATTACTGATGTATGGTTTTCTATAAACATGAAATTTAATATCAAATAGAGGAAATAAGTCAGACTACAATGTTTACTCAGTTTTACAAGCACAATTTGATTAAAAACTGTTCCCGCGGTCCAAAAACATAATTTAAATAAAATTTCATGACATTTCTCATATTCTTCTTTAACTATGGAGTTAGGTTGTTTAATAAATGATATAGTTGTGTAATTAAAACTACGCGTAGTTTAGACTTCTTTTCTTATTGATAACAATCGGTAATTAAATTTAGATTATATGCGAATCGCTTTTTAATTCAATCGATATAAACATTATACTACTCAGATTTATTATTACCCAGATTAGATATTTGGGAGTACACGTGGATGGTCTGTTGACATGGAAGGTTCATATAAGAAACACGGTTGGTCGTATCAGAAAACTTATTTACGTCTTCAAGAACCTCAGACATGTAGCTGATTATGATACATTAAAAACAGTCTACTATGCATTGGGACAATCTGTTCTTTCATATTGTATCTCCGTCTGGGGAAGCTCAGGAAAAACAGAACTTTTGCGACTAGAAAGAGCTCAAAGAGCGGTGCTTAAGGTTATTATCGGCAAACCAGCTTATTTCCCCACTATTGAGTTGTATGCTCTTACTGACGTTTTAACAGTGCGTCAGATTTATCTCCTGCAAATTATTTTACGGCAACACGCTCAACTCCCATTTCCAACTATAAGTGATAAGCCTTACTCCTGTAAAAGCAAACGTAGACCAGTCTTGCCGTGTAAAATCGAGATGTGTAGGTTATCTGTATCTGCTAAACATTTTAACTTCTCGGCTCCAAAATTCTACAACAAAATTAATAACTTAATAAAATTACATCCTCTCACTTCGCGAGAATGCAAAACTCAATTGGTACAGTGGCTAAAAACATTATCCTACAGTGATACTGAGGACTTGTTAAAGAGTTGTATGTAAACAGACATATAGTAATTCATCGCTGTTTGTATAAAAGAAATACACACAAACTTACACTCATATACACATACTGATACTTTCATATACACTAACATTCTACACACACAGTAGTAATGATAAGAATGCATGCTATTTAATTTAATTCTAAACTTGAATTATATAAATACGTCGAGTGGAACGTTGTTCTTTATACAATGAAGGTGGGCGTTTGTGGCTGCAACTCAGTTTTTAAACTAAAGCGGCTGCTTTCGTACACGATAATACCTGTAAAGTGTAAAGTTCCATTAAAAAATATTATTATTATATTATATTACTTAGTATATTTTTAGGTTACAGTTTAATCAATATTTTTGTCACTGGAAGAATATGGGTATTTAATTTACAGGATCCAGGATGTTCAGAGTTACTGCCAAATGTTAGATTTTAAAAACCCTAGAATTTTATCCGGCTTTGTCGAGAATGACTGACTGAGGGATGAAGAATAAGGGCAAAATTTCTATGAAAGAAGACTTTTAGACCCGGTTTAGGCCATTTCAGATTATCATCTAGTTTAAGCCATTTTAAAAATTAGGATGTGTTTAGACACAATACAACTGTTAAAGGTATTAGTTTTACCATGTTACAATATTATAAAACTATTCAATGTAAACTAATATACCTATTTGCCTATGAGTTAGATCTGATATTCCATATGGCCATAACCTGGTCCTCTGTACTATATAAATCATAAAAGCCAGCACTTGGTTCTAATTATAAAATATTCATAACCTATTTATTATCAAAGATATAAGTAAGTACCTTGAAGATGGTGATAACAAACCCAGGGGATACGTAAACCAGCCATCGTGTTGTTAATTGCAATGAAT